AAATATATAAATTTTCTGCCATCATGTCTTGAATTTGTGATCATTCTAAATGCATTTTAATAGCCTGAATCATGCAGTGAAAGAAAACACACTAAATGCGCACACGCACTAGTCTAGACTTCACGTAATGTATGCGTGCGCTCTGTAGGGATGTTTTGAATGGTTTTTGCAAAATACTCGATAATGTCAAATTGCACATCGTTAAAACAATAATTACGATATTATCGCAGACGATATATATCGCACACCCCTACTTTCAAGTCTGTATTGACTATTTAACACATAGTAATGACCAGAAGTGTTAGCTCTTTCTCCTTTCAAAAATTTGGTCGGGAATTTGAGGTGCCCTTGAGAAGTGCAACAGGTTTCCAAAGTCTTCGCTTTGTAACCAGGTTATGAGTGGATGAAAACTTTTAGCATATTTACAACTCTTTGGACAACAAGTAGTATTAAAAAGGGAAAGTCTGGCCCATTATACAGTAATCAGTGCAGCTGATATGTGCTGATTCTTAAATGATTATATTTAATCCTGTCTTGAATGTGTATTTTCAGTCTTGAGGTCTGTTTTTTGTTTCCAATTTAATAAATGGACGCTTTGTTAAACTTATACATAATTCTGAAATCCTAGCTGTCTAATTAACTGCAAGGTTTCTACAAGGTTCCCTGCATACGGGGCAATGAATGGAGGACGCACATGGCCAAGAGTCTCCGTCATAGATTAGTTATTTGCCACTCATCCCATTGGGTCCTGCACGTCTGTAGTGTCACATTCTCAAGATTGCCACCCTAACGTAAGACTCTGTGCCTCTCCTAGTCGTAAACGTTAGCAGACATTGGAATATGTGACTTCACAATCTAGTATGTTGGAATGGTTTCAATACAGGACAGTCTATATTAAAAGCCTGCCCGGTTGCTTTCAGGATCTTTTGCTGACTTGTAAATGGGCAGGCTTTTTAAATCATATATAGTAACAATTTTTTGAATAGCCGATAGCTTTTTTTGCTCATTTACATGCACTTTTTTTTTTGTGTTTTTTTTTTTGTTTTTTTTACACTACTGGTTCAGTGCCATGCCCTATAGACATACAGAAAAGAAATACTGTAGAAGCCCCTCTCATTTGGATAATGTGGATTTGGCAACCGTGATAGTGCAGATTCATGCATTAGATGGTTGTATGTGAATTAATTTGTCTTGTGCATATGCAGGCCTATTTAGAGTCACTTGTGCTAGTTTTCTTGAGACCAGCCTGTCTCTTTCCAGCAGGTTACATACTGGCACTCGTTCTATCTAATTTTCTCTCTTTCTCTTATCTCAGTCTCTCCATCCCATATTAGGCATTGTCTGTATGTAGCTAAGCTATGATGGGGGTGGCGACTGGAGTAATCGTTTTATGGCAGCTCTGATAGATTTGTGGAGGAAAGAGGAGTGATGAATGAGGAACAGATTTTAAGGAGGGGACTTTGGGTGCCTCCCCCGAACTGCCCAATTACGTCTTACATTCACAGATGCAGATGCTGCATCTGTGAATGTAACAGATGCTAACTTAGTTCCATGTAAAACACATATGCTGAACATATTTTCTCTTCTTTTTTTAGGGTTTCATCAAGGATGTACACGAAGACTCCCTCACAATAGTCTTTGAAAACAAGTAAGTTGGCCGAACGTTTCCTGTACATGCTCTTTCCTAAAGCCTCTGCCTGTTTGACAAAGTTTTGCCTGTGATGAGTGTTCACACTCTGCCACCTACACACAACCAACAAAAATATAAGATTAGCCAAGACGGAGAAGAGTTTTAGCCTGTTAAAATGCAATATATATGTCTCGAATATTTTAGCAATGGTACTGCAGCCAGTCCATCAGTTATATTGATTTTATATAAATTCATAATATAAATAATAAAAAAAATCTAATTATATCTGTATGTATGTATGTATGTGTGTGTGATATACATGTCCAAAAAGGTCCATACTTTGGAAGGTATCCAGCCATGTAATATGAAAAATAAAGACGTTTATCGAAGAAGATACAAGAAACATTGTACATAGGACAGTGATGCCGCTGTCCCCTTCAAAGGTGATTTTAGTTTTGGGAAAACACAGAAGTCGCTGGGTGCCAAGTCTGAGCTTTAGGGGGGCTGAGTCACCTGGGTGATTTGATGTTTTGGCAAAAAACTCTGCATAAGATGAGATGCATGGGCGGGCGTACTGTCATGATGAAGCTGCCAATCACCAGTTGCCCATAGCTGAGGCCGTTTTCATCGTATTGCATTTCTTATCTCGTATTTTTTAAGTTATATGCCTGGATACTTTCTGGGCAGCCCTTGTAAACTTGTATTAAAAAATAAAATAAAAATGTTATTATACATGTATATATAAAACACAATACGTTCAATGGTTTGGGGTCAGTAAGATTTTAAAATACTTTTATTCAGCAAGGATGCATTAAATGGATCAAAAGTGACATTTATGTTACAAAAGATCTCTGTTATATAAACGCTGATGGATCATATTACACTAAAGGCTGGAGTAATGAAAATTCAGCTTTGCCATCACAGGAATTAATTACTTTTTAAAATGCATTAAGCATTTTTTTAATTGAAGTAATATTTTACAAATGAATATAACTTTTTCTACTGTATTTTTGGATCAAATAAATGCAGCCTTGGTGAGTATAAAAGGTATTTTCAGAAACATTTACAAAAATCTTACTGACCCCAAACTTTTGAACGGCATGTGTATATATTAAATAAAGAAATGTGGATGTATTTATTTTATTAAATCCATAATATAAAATATGTACATGTAGTTGAATACATTGTTACTATACAGATATTATAGGCCACTCTTAAAATGCAGCACTTTTTTAATGCTTTTTGTGTAAGGTGCACTTATCTGATTGTGCTCATCTCACAATCAGCTTGTTTTCTTTAGAGCTTAACTGATAGATCACTTCCACTTTTCCTTTAGCCATGTGCTCCAGCCCGTCACTCTCAGCACCTGTCTTAACTCTCTTGGGCAGCTGTCATACAGCTCTTTATAGTTCTCCTGTCCCCCTCCTTCCCTCTTTTCCCCCCTCCATGTCTCCCCACTCCTCCCATCTTTATCTGTCTTTTTTTCCTTTCCTTCTCTCACTCCCCGTTTTGGGCCGAGTAAGATCCATAAATAGCCCTGTGAGGTATGCAGGCAGGGGAGTACGGGACAGTGGTCCTGCCATTCTTGGGATGGTTCTGCTGACCCATGGACAACCAGGAGCACTATCATCTCTCTGAGACCATGTGCTTACAATCTTGTTCGATTTGTGTGTAATAGTGAAGACTGGGACAGTGTGTGAGAGATTTCAAGAACAATCTGAGGTTTATAGCCGAACGAGTAAACAACTAGTATTTTTGGACCTTTTTGGAGTGATTTATTCAAAGTTGTGATTTTTACTTGTGTATCTGAGAGCATATGGTTTGCTCATTTCAGTATATCCATAGTGACCCCTCATATCTCATTGTTGACACCCCTCCTCTTTAATAAATTGACTGCTGGTTCTCTCTGCGTTGAGTTTGTTAGGCCATTGAGCCCATGGTTTTTGGAGGTGGGGTGTCGAGTTATACCTGCCCTGTCGTTAGAAAGCTGACTGACAACTGTGTGTCTGTGTGTGGCTTCTTTCCACAAGCTGGCAACCAGAGAGACAGCTGCCGTTCAGTGACGTGAGGTTGCCACCCCCAGCCGATTACCACAAGGACATTTGTGAGGGAGATGAGGTGGAGGTAGGGATACATTCACTCTAAAACACCCGGAGCACTCCTCAAATCATCACCCTGAAAAAGGCCCCCACATATGAATCATCACTGGAGAAATAGCCCTTTGAAATGCTCGGCTTTCAAAACATATATCAGACTCTCATCTTACACCACTTTCCATACCGCTAACACGGGTCATTCTTTAAAAACAACATGAAAGTTTTTATAACACATTTAACTTTGGTAATATGGCACATTTTAGAGAGAAATCTAAAATATCATTGAGATTTGATTGGATCTAGAAATATAAACTGATGTTATTTTCCCACTGCCCCCGTGACATTTATGCGAGAAGTCATTTCAGAGATAAAAGTTATATTTTAATGAAAGAATATGAGACAACTTTTTTTTTCTTTAGAATTGTGTGTACTAAAGAGTCAGTTTAATCAGGTTTGATTCCATGTTCGAAGGTCAATTTCTGTTTGTTCATTCTAGATTTCTCCTGTATGTCATGCACCGTATCTTGCCAACACATGTATAACTTAAATCGCATAATTAGAATTAGTAATAAACCAATTCATCTTTTGAAATTTGGCCATTTTAGAGTGAAATGCAATATGTCTGTTAATGGCTGATATTAGTGATTGTGATGCCTAAATTCATTTGCAGAATAAAAAAACATTTACTTTATTTTTAGTGCGTTTTATTTAATTTTTGGACAAGACAATATAAAATTCAGCTGTCTACTAGTACTATTTGTTATTGCTCATAATAACATGAAAATTCTTATCAAATTATTAGTATCAGCTAGTATCTTAATGCTGGTGCAACTATAGTTTCTTTGAAATTGCCCAACTGACCGATTAACATCACTGAAATGGATCCAAAATCAAACAGACTTGACAATGAATAATGCAGCACTGTTGATGAATTATGCTTTATTAATGCATGTTTTGTTTTCAAGTGAATTGACTAAATATTGTGAGAATGTGTTCTTTAAATTTCAGCAAATTTGTAGAGCAAGTCTTATTTGCTATTATTAAATCTATAAAATATATGCATCTTAATCTTCTCGGTATTGGCATTTTCTAGTCGATCACTAGATACAAACATACCGGACACATTCTGCATTCTTTTATTCTCTCTATACTATAGCACACTCCTATTATGGTACAAAGAAAGGGTACTAATTCATTTCTTGCTTTCTGTTAAACACACAGAGACACCATTTCTTTTAGTGTTTTCCTGCACACAATCACCTGACCTGGTCTTTCTCCTGCAGGTTTACTCCAGAGCCAACGAGCAGGAGCCCTGCGGCTGGTGGTTGGCGAGGGTGAGGATGATGAAGGGAGAGGTAAGTCGGGTCCAGGTGTGCAAGCGTCCACTGCGCATACGTTTGATCAGATGTGGGTTACGGGGTCTGCATTTCAAGGGTTCTGTCTCTCGTTATTCACTCAGTTGGCCTTTGAAGTTGAGTCCAAAGTGAATGTATGAATATTGATTGAGGGTGTTTCAGGTCTTTTTGGGACTCGTTGCTCCAGTAGGCCTTTAACACACACATCTGCAGCACTGACCCAGTTACCCATAAACACTAGAGTGATCTCATTTATTGAGTCAGACTGAACCCCCTGGTGATCGAATAGCGGATGGCCTTAAGCTTTAGAATATGCATTGAGTATGCATGAGCAAGATAAACAACTGCAAAATGTAGGTCCGTTTAAAGACATATGGGATCCTCTATATGGGTCCCACTTAAGGCATCAGGTTTAAGAAATGTTCTGGGTTCAATACTAGTTGTGCTATAATGTATGCTGTCATTACCAGAAAAATCTTTTTGACTTTCCCTTTGCATTATGACTGTCTATTTCTGAATATTTTTGATTAATTTTTATTACTCTTATATAATTATAAGAAATAATTCTTTATACTTTAAACTTTTTTTATTAAAGTATTTTGTTAGTGGACTTCTATTCTAGGTGGTTAAACTTCTAGGTATAAGTAAAATTCTGTATTTCTTGGGGACACCTTTTGCTCCATCTAAACAAAGCTTCAAGGCTCTGCGTGGTCATGATAGGATTTGAAATATTGAATATAACTGCACCGACAAGGTTGGTAAGCAATTTTACCTCACTAGTATCATATGTGTATCCTGGTCCAATGTGTTGCCCAGTTTAAAATGAAAGTTCAATAATGTACACCCTATTTTATTTAATTCTGAGGGAGAAATCTAAATTATTTATTGTAGTAACCAACATCATATCATAGAGCTTTGCTTTTATTGAACCTGGAACATTATTGTAAGGTTACAGTAAAATACTGACATTTACAATAAAGTCTTATTTCCTTTTTAAAGGAAGAAATAAATTGCTCATTTCCTTTTTATTGATACACAAATAGGAGTTTTCTTAACACGGCTTAAAAAACCTCAGAGCTTATGCCTGCTATGCAGTGTTTCCTGGCATAAGGTCCCATTTAAACCTGTCTCCACACACACGTTTTGGCTAATTAGGTTAAGGTAGCACATGAGTTGACAGGCAGACCTCTCATAGTGTTACATGGAGCACCGGGGAACTGTCTTCTCCCTCTTGCACACATTCATTCTGATACTGGGGCAGTCGAATAATAGGACGAATATAGACTTGACTTTTGACTGCATTCTAGGTCACCGAGTGTAAGTTGTGCGTTTCTGCTGATATGGGATGTGGCTGCTCTGCGTTATTATAGGGTTTGTTTTTAGTCGAGTGGGGGTGGGGGCGGGGGGCTTTTCTCAAATTATCTTCAATCGATTTTCTTCCCCACTGCTTTTACTGTGTTACAGGCAGCAGATACTTAATGTTGGCTTAATGCTTCTGTCTGCAAGATGGCTTCTGTCACACTCTGAGCGTGAGCTGTGCTAACGCGTCTCATCACAGTGACTAATTACTGGCATTTTAAGCTAGTGGTCTAGCACAACAAAACCATCTTTGAGCAGCTTCAGTCTGTTTGCTGTGTCTTTAAAGTGGTGAGGCTGTGAAAGAGGCTATTGTGACTTGTGTAATAAACAGTCAGCTGGTCATTACTGCAAATTAAACCCAACAGGAGCCTGATTCAAAACTGACTGTACATTTATCCCGCTTGTTTCATGGATACTTGCCAAATAACTGGACTTGAAAAATTGGTTTTGAGGTTAAATGATTTTATTAAATGGTCAATTGTACATCTTAACAGTCATTATACAAAAATATTTGACTCAAGAATACCATGTTTGTGCAGTTAAAAATATTCCAGAGAGTAATAATCAGTATAATAATCCAGTTTAACTACCTAAGCTATTAACCGTGTTCAGTATGCAGTCATTGTTTTGTTTAATGTGTGTGGTGGGCATTGTGATATATATATATATATATATATATATATATATATATATATAAATTTTATTTTTTTATTT